TGAAATTCATAATGCATTAAAGGATTTTTTTAAAAAGTTCTGATTCACTTTTGCATAAAAATGGTTTGGGTCAGTAAACTTCCAGTAGTTTCTCTCCCTGAGGTGAAAAGCAAGGCCTGATGCAATCACAGAGCCCAGGCAACCAATTATTCCAACTGGCTGCATTTCAGTGTCAAAAAATAAACGGGCCTTTTGGGACACAAGCAGATATTAAATCAACTATGAATTTTTCCAGTTTACAAAGAGGAAAACATGAAATTTAAAGCACTGTGAGTGCAAGCATTTGCAGGTACTGTAAGGGACTATTTTGCATTTCCTCAAATCCTTAACATCCATTATCCCCTCTCCCACTCCCCACCTCCTTTTATCATCTAGTATCATTTCCTTATCATCCAATACAATTTCAATACAGCTTTGCTCCAACCCAATTCACAGTGCTAGTACAGAAGATATATCACATTTCTGTATGTTTTAGGCTCAATAGTGTAATCATATACATACTGTTTTATAACATTGATTTTTAAATCAGGGAGCAGAAAGGAAGAGAAATAATATATTTATATTGCCTTTTATAGTTAGGTAATTACCATTTCCAGTACTCACTGTTTTTCCCCAAGGGTTCATATTACCATCTGCAGTCACATACCTTCAGCCTAAAGTAAGGTGGATCTATGGGCAACAAATTCAGTATTTATCTAGAAATGTATGTATTTGGCCTTCATTTATGAAAGATAGCTTTGTAGGACATAAGATTCTTGGTTGCCAGTTTTTTCCTTTTAACACTCCAAATATCTTATTCCACTGCCTTCTTTCCTCCATGGTTTTTGGGAAGTCAGATATTGGTCTTAGCAGGATTCACTTATATATGATGAACCCATATATTCACTTATATTTGCTGCTTTCAAAATTTTCTCTGCCTCCTTTTTTGTCATTTTACTGTGATGTGTCTCTTAGTAGATCTTTTTGTGTTTATCCTGCTTGCAATTCATTGAGTTTTTGAGATGTGTAGATCTATTTTCATCAAATTTGGGATGTTACCAACTTTTTTTTGGAGGGGAGCACATTACTTTCTACTCCCTTCTGCCTCTCTTTTTTCTTCTGGTACTCCCATTACATGTATATCGGTATGCATAACAGTATTCCACATTTCTTCTAGGTTCTATTCATTTTTTTTTCATTCTTTTTGTTTTCTGTCCTTTGATTTGCAAAGTCTCTATTAATCTAAATTCCACTTCACTGATTCTTCCAAATTTGTTGGTTCCTCTTGTGAATTTTTCATTTCAGTTATACTTCTCCACTCCAAAGTTTCTATTTGGTTATTTTAAAAACAATTTCTCTTTACTGTTATTCTTTGTTTGCTGAGATATTGTCATCATGGCTTTCTTTACTTCCTTAAGTATGGTTTATTTCTTTGAACATATTTATAACAGCTGTTTTGAAGTCTTTGTCCACTAAATTTGACAACTAGTCCCTCTTATAGTTTCTGTTGCCTACTTTATTTCTATATTTCTGTGTATCAGTTACACTTCCCTGTTTCTTTCCATGTTTTTTTTTTTTTCCTTAATGGGATATTTTAGGTAATATACAGCAGCAAATCTGGGTAATTATTTCTCTTCTCCCTTTTTGGGCCTTTGCATGAGCATGCACACCTATTTATTTGTTTAGTCATTTGGATATTCTATTTTAAAGGAAATCTAATTCCTTTCTCCCACTTCTGACAGTGTGAAGCCTCAGTATACACCCAGTCATCCTGGAATGACAGTGGTTTTAGCAGGGATTTTTTTTGACCTTCTAATTTTCTGACTTCTCTGTTTAGTTGTCTGTCTCTTTTGTATCACACTCAGCTGTTAAACTCTATTAATTGCATGGGATTGTTCTTTTCTTTTTGACAAAGTCCTGGGACATAAATTGCTCCTTGGTTTGATCTAATTAAATGTAGGCAGGGATACTTTGCTCCCAGTCTTTGAAAACTTTTTCTCACATGAGGGGGGCTCTTAGAAGCTATGGGTCTTCCTGATTATTTCTAGTAAACTAGTTGGCCTATGGTTTAGCTTGATGCTTAGAACTACCAGCCCCTCTTAATTTCTTTCTACCAAATCTCCATTGTTTTAGAGAATGCCTTTAGGCTTGAACTTCCTCTCACTCTATTTCAAATAAATTCAGTTCCTTTAGGGGTGAGCTTCAGAGCTCTCTGTTCTTATTGGCTACATCACTCCCTGCTGGGCAAAATCTATGAGGCACTGATCCAGGTGCTGGACAGTGACAGGGGCCTGTTTATCTTGAAGTGATACCTCTGTTTCCTGAGCAAAGACCTAGGGAGATAGTAGTAGCCTCTGTTCTTCTCAGTTTGCCTCTCCTGGCATGGAATCTTCAGTGGTGAGGATAATCAGGGACCCATTATCTTCAGACTACCACGCTTAGAGTAAAACCTCCATCCTATGAATGGAGGCTGGATCCATGAGGATGCACTCATCAAGAACTTAGCCTCTGTAACTTGAAGTTGTACATGATTAGAAATGTTGGCCTGTCACTCCTGGTAAAATACTGTATCCTTTGATTGGGAACTTAGGGGAATGGCAGCTCCATCATTTTGGCCACACCTGCCTAGAGTGGAGCTTCTCTCAAACTCAGCTAGCAAGGAGGTAAAGGGAGGGAAAGGGTGATGATTCAAGTGCCATTGATTCTCAATGATTTACATATTTAGTATATTTTAGTGAGTAAATATTTCTCCATTTGCTGTATACCCTTAGGACAATTTTCAGGACTTTAAATAGTTGTGTTGTTTTTTAAAATCACTTCTACCAGTTGTGGTTGTTTCATTGGAGAATACGTCTGCCAAACTCTTCACATCTTTCCAAAAGTTATAGCCCCTTTAAAAAAATAGAATTCCATGAGATAACATTATAATGCTAGTTTTTGTTGTGTTGTCATTGTTGACTTTGATTTTTAAGTTGTAATAATAATTGCTCATAAGGTAGAGAGATGCTATTTTCTCTTGATCAAGTCAACTTGACTCCTCTCAAAAAAAAACTACCTTACATGCAAATCTGAAAACAGTCGCAGGAAAAAGGAAACAAGTGGGAACAACATTTTATAATGTTATGTACCAATGTTTTTTCTTTATAGTTTTAAAAGGCAAACACCAAAACTAAAGTGTAGTTATACTTTATAAAGGAAATCAAGCATGTAGGTACTAACTACAAAGCTGAGACCCTCACTTTTATTCTGACCCTACTGTATTTTAATGTGGGTAAGTCGCTATGAATACACATCTGAATTGCTGCATCTACTCCATAACAATCTTGTTTTCAACATGGCTTCACTAACTGGAACCACTTTTAGTATGGCACATGTGAATTAATAAAAAATGTTATTGTTGTAAAAGCTAACATTTGTTGAGTGCATACACCAAACTCTTTAAAAACTGTTTTAAATGTATCATTTCAATTAATTCTAACAACATTACTATGAGGCAGTTTGGATTATTACTATCCCAATCTTACAGATGAAGCAACTAAGGCACAGAGAGGTTAAGTTACTTGCCTGATATCACAATTTATCAATCAGTGGTGAGACTAGATCTGAATCAAGGCAGGTTAGTTTCTAGAACATAACTGAAACTTTGTACTATAATAATACTTTAAAATTTTTTTCATTTCATTTCCAAAGAGGCATATAGCAACCTCCTAAGAGTGGTGTTTAGGAAAATTTCTCTAAGGGAATTATTCATTCACTTATTCAACAAACTCTCTGAGCACCTATTATAGCCATGAATCTGGACTATTCAATTAAGCATGGAAACTAAACACCAACTTTTTAGGATAAAAGTTGAATCCTCTCAGAATGGAAAATAACTTCATGAGAATCTAAACCCAGGAGTCATGCTGTTAAGCAATAGCTGTGATTGTGGGAAAGGTCTTAAGATTTTAATGAGCATGTACTACAAGCCAGGCACCATGTTAAGCTAAAATGCTTTATGTAAGTAATTTCATGTCCTTCCTCCAAAAACCACAAATAGTTAAGAGCTCAGGCTGTAAGTCAGCCTTGTGGGGTCTGAATTCCAGTTCCATCAGAGACTAACTTTGTAAATCAGATGTATTATTTAACATCTTTGGACCTTAGTTTCCTTATCTGGAGATTGAAGATAATACTACTTCCTGTAGCAGGTAGGAATGTATTCAAGTAAAGAAATATCTGATAATAGTGGCTTAAGCAAATCAGGGTTTATTCTTCTACATAACTGAAAACCTGAAAAATGGAGACAGCCTAAGTTAGTTCAGCATTTCCACAAGGTCAGGGCTGGCACCTGGGATGCTTTCAGACTTTTCTTCAGGGACACAAGCTAGCTGCTGCAATTCGAGACATCATGTCAGTATTTAGGGCAGAAAGAGAACAGAAGAGAGGTCAGCCACAAGTGTCCTCTTTGATCAGTAAAACTAAGGCAGAACCAGCAGATTTCTGCTTATGTCTCCATGGCCAGAACTCTGTCATAAATGGGCACTTGAGCTCTAAGTGAAGCTTGAAAAGCAAATATGTAGAAGATACATTTTTACCCGCACAAAATTGGGTTCTACAAGCAAGGGAGGGGTGAGCACCTAACAAGTGTCTGCCACACTACTTCATGGGTGGGAGAATTGAGAGAATTTATGCTACAAACTTAACATAATCTGGGGTCCTCATCCAGGGCCAATAGATGTTAGCTATTTTATTTGCCAAGGAAGAGGTTATGAACAGCTTACTTCAAATCATAGTTTCTAACAAGAGAGACAAGATTTAAAGGCAGCCTTGTGGACTCCAAAGCCTACGAGCACTGAGAAATGTATAGAATTGTTGCATCATTATATTTTATGCCTGAAACTAATAGAACACTGATTACTTTTTTAAAAATTTACTTTATACTTTAATATTTTAAAAAGTCATTAAGGCAACTAGGTAGAGGCATTTAAAGGGTTCTTTTCCTACTGAACTACTTTTCATGCTCTACTTAAGATTCCTGGTTTTTTTTTTCCTCCATAGATATGCTAAGGTATCCCTCAGGCAGAGCCCCTGCAGTAATTAGTGGCAAAAGAAGTGAAGTAGCCAGTTCTTGTATTAAGTCTTCTGAATCACCAGTCAACTACCTAAGATGCAGCAGAAAGACATCTGCATTTAACAAAAAGCTCTTGTATGTAATAGAAAAATTGCCATGAAGCTCGATTGTTTGATTAAGCATGGAAGCCAAATACTGACCTTTTAGGATAATAGTTGGCTCCTCTCAGAATGGAAAACAACTGCCTGAGAATCAAAACCTGATGTGTAAAGTGTCCCCCAAAGCAAGATATTCAAAAGATGTTAGAAGCTTTAGCCAGGAAAATAGACATCTCTATTTTTCAGTTATAAAAACTTACCATCACTAATTAAAACCAGGATATTGAAGATGATGCCTCCCTTACTGCATGAAAGAACTTGGTTCCATATTTGCAAGGTGTAAGGAAAACGTGAGGTCTGGTGACCTCATATATAATAACCCTGCACATATAATTATTGTGTACAGAGGTGTCTGGAGAGCAGATTTTTAATCAATGCCAGGAAAAGCCTGTATTACATTAATAGAAAATTTAGAACACATGGTTCCAAGTCTGTTTGCTTAACCATAAAATGAGCAGAGTATTGCTGACTTGACTTCTTCCCATAGGGTGAAAGAGCAAATGATAAGTTTCATGAAGACACAATCTATGTCCACAAAGCATCGATGGTAATGCTTGTTATTCTTGAGGAATTCAAGGACAATCAACTTTGACCTGGCCAAGTAGGAACATGAAACTGACAATCATAGCAACAACCAACCACCCTCACAACAAACCATTTACCGCTGCCATCATCATTTCATAAAAGGATGTTTTAAACACCAAGCTATTAGGATGGACATACTTATTATCAGAGTAAAAGGCAGTACTTGACATGGAATGAGTTTTACTAAAGTCTTACTGCTTCTTCCTAATTTTTCTTGTTCAATATGCACAAATGAACATTTAGGTCACAGAGTCTGTCCTGGCATTGTTTTCTCCAAGGGACTTTCTGGACACTGGGTTTCAAGGACAAGAGGGCTCTAGGGTGTAGGATTACAGGCTGGGACCAGGAGTTTCAGGATACAAGTAATTAAAAATCCTTACTAGGAAATTTTTACAATTTTCATGTATAATTAGAGCAGAGAAATTTGGCAAAGCTTCCCCCATGAGCCTCAGGGACTGTCTTAAAGTATCTCAACAGTTTGTTTAGGCTACAGGTTCAAGTACCTTAGATATTCATTTTAACTCTATTACTAGAACCTAGACACCTTGAAGGCAGGGGACATACATCCAACACTATCTACTGACTTGGTGTGAGCTTGATTTTTGTTGAGTCTGTCAAAGTTCTAAAAGCCAGTCATAGCAGCTGATGAACATCACTGTGAGCTGGTCTCAGCGAAAAGTTGGGTCTGTCCAAAGAGATAAGAAAAGAGAAAACGATTTACTATCAACTGAAAATTTTTATGTTCACATACCTAACTACATAACATCTCATGCATAGGCTGAGCATTGGCAGATATTCTGAAGCTGATATATAGGTTCTCTCTAGAAAATTCAAATAAAACCAATCACGGCTACCCATATTTAAAAACTGAAATAAGGACTTTATAACCTAGATTTTCTTACACAGGTGACCTTCTCTAGGTATTTACTGTATAATGGTAACTGAATGATCACAGGAGATTGGCAGCAGGCAGGAAACTTTGAGACAGTCTTATCCAGTCTTCTCATTTTTCAAGGAAATTGATCCCAGTGAGGTTGGGTGGTGATTTATTTGAGACCACCACAAGAGATACTGATTAAGAAATTGGGACATAAAACTGGTTTCCTGTTTTCCAGAACCATGATCTCTCCACAGTATTACTGACTCTCTGGCTGATAAAAACACCTTCTGCTTTCATATTTAATTCAATAGAAACAACCCATGGTTAGTGCCAAGAGTGACTTAAAGTGGCATTAGTTAAGGGACAATAAGCATCATAAACAGGATAATGATGTGACCTCCGCCCTCAGTGAGTCATAATCAAACGGGAAGGACTTCACACACCCAAGTAACATGTTTTTGGGGTAAAAGTTTATCTTAAGAAATAATAAAGTTCTGAAATTTTTCAACCCACCCAAGTTGCTGAGTATTTTTCTCTTTCCTACTATATTTTTAATATCTAACATGTGCATGTTACAGACTATCTGGTATAGGCATCTAAATATCCCTGTTGAAAAGAAAGTCCTTAAGTGCTTACTTCTCAATGCTTGAAAGTAGGAATGAAATAACATACTTTATGCAATTCTCCTTTGTATAAGACTCTGCTGCACATCAATCTATACTCTGGCATGCAAACTTGTAACTATAACACCAATCAAATTAAGGATGCCACTTATGTGAATGCTCATCAGCGTTATCCTGGTCAATGTTCCAAATACCATCATAGTAAAAGCACTGAAGGATACAAATGAACCTAAAAAACTATATGAGCACTCCATGAGGTGCTCATGCAATGAGAAAGGAATGAAAGAAGTAAATCTGAATGGTGTGATCTTTGAGGACAGGTACTGTCTTGTTGACTATATTATCATAGTCCTAGAACATGAGAAAATAACAGGCATTCAAAAATACTGTATTCATGAGTGAAAGAGAAGGAGGGAGGGAGAAAGAAATAGAGGTTGGATGACTAGAAACTGAAAAATCCAAGTATCCAAGGAAGTATTTTAGTGGATTCTCAGTGTAAGATACAACTTCCGTAGGCAGGAAAAATTCTGTAGAAAAGGGAAAAGTATTCTAGGCAGGAATACTTGGGCCCTTGCTTTCTACAGCCATGTAGGCTGCACACTGTACTACTCTAGAGAGGGCTCTCCACATGGACTCCAGCAACTCCTAGAAGGAGAAAGACCATAAAGTTTATTGCATAGGTGCTGGATGTCTGCTAAATATATTTATAGCTTATTAATTATGATTGGCTTGGCTGACTAAATTCTTTAAGAAGGTAATTTGGGTAGAGGTGTTGGTAGAAATAAGAGGCGGTTCTAGAAATGACAAGTCTGGGTTAAAATTTTGACTTCCACTTAGCTGCATAAACTAAATGCAAGCTCACTGAGGGCAAAAATTGTGTCTGTCTTGTTCATGAATTTATCTCGGTGCCTATCACATAGAATGTACTTACAAAATAGTGGATGATAAATTTTAATCATACAAAGCATGTAATAGTTTCCTCATCTGTTAAAAAAAAAAGATACAGACACTCATTTCACAGGGTACAATGAGTATGAAACAAGAAAATGCACATTTGGTATGTAGCACAGTGTCAGGCTCATGGTACGTGCTTAATGAGTAGGAGCTGTGATTAGAAACAATAAGGCTTTGTTTTGTCTTGAATGGGAATTTTCATCTAATTTTAATTAGAGATTTTTAATAATCTTCTCTCTTATACACTGAGAGATAGTAATGAGAGTCTGGAGTGAACAGTCAGCCCGAGGATTCTCAAGCCGTATAGTACCCACTCCTAGGGGGGCACTGAACATAGCCAGGAATTTGATCGTTCCAATGACAGGGCCTGGTTAGCGTGCTGGGACCAGTGTCAAACGTCCAGTAATACGTGGGACAGTCCTACACAAAATACCCCAACCACCCCATTGTGCTCCTATTGAGAAGCACAGTGTAATCTTGAGAAGTAATGGTCTACTCTTTTCCTGCCACCTTTCACTTTAAAACATTACGTATACAACTTTATGAAAAGTATTTGCAAGTAAAATTTGACTTATCCCTATTTTGTTGTCCCACACACGTAGACAAAAGAGTATCAGGTTACTCTTTACGATTGCATGGAGGTAAAAATTCTCGTGAAATAGTAAATCAAACAGAAAACATGGCACTAAAAGCAGAAAATGTGTTTGCAAAAAGCATTAAGGATTTTTATCTTGTCAAAGAAGCAACCAAGACTTTTCTTCAGAGACTGAAAGAAAGCTATTCAGAAGAACTCTTATTTTCCTGCTTTCATGTATTGTCTCCTTCTGGCCCTGTATTCCACATAGAAAACATCTGTGTCCCGTTAAGATTTTAGTTCCCCTGCTGAACAACAGTCTTGCCAGTCTCAAGTCTAAGTCTGCTTATTCCTTTGCAAAAAGGAAGACAGAGGGACAATGATAAAAGAGCAAGGCACTGAAGAAAAGGGATAAAGAGCTTAAAATTGTAAGGCCAAAGATCTAGAACAGGGACTTTCCAAGTAGAGTGCTTGTGTACTCCAAAGAGCATACAAGAGATAGAAAAAAAGACCGTTAGAGCCTCTTCTTACATTTATCTATCTACATATTAATGGACGTTGAGATTGCTTCCTGAATCCTGTGTCAGACAATATTGTGAGGTATTTCATAGCATCAAGGGATTGGGGGCAGTGGTATCCTCACTCATTCCTCTATTTTGACATATTGCAACTTATATGTGCCCAGTTAAATGGACCTATGGGTTATATTACCTGGTTTTAACTAAACCAAACACCACAAAGTAGACAATGGGCTTTCAAAGATTTCTACAAAACACATTGGACTGAAGACAACATCAATCATGCAAGCATATGCAAAGAGCTGAAAAAGAGCTAAGCCAATGCTTGTTTCACAGCATGAGCTCTACCAAAGCCACACTGCAAGATAGAAACATGACGACCAGTTGCTTAAGTCGGTGCTGTCCGACAGGACTGATGATGAAAACATTCTAGAATGGTGCTGTCCAACGCAGTAGTCACCACCCAAATAAAGTTATTAAACTTTTGAAGTGCAGCTTGTGACACTGAGAAACTAAATTTTTATTATTTAAATTTAAACAGCCACGTGTGGTTAGTGGCTATTATATTGGACAGTGCAAGTCTAAGAAGTAACAAATAGAGCCAAGTTCTTAGGTTTGAATCCAAATGCTGACACTTACAAGCTGTGTGACCTTTACCTTAACTTTTCCATGCTTCAATTTCTTCATCATAATCATACTGCCTCTGTCACATAGTCGTTAAGATTAAGTTAGATAATGCATAAAAAGTACTTAGAATATTGCACAATACATAGGACATTTTTATTAGCCCCAATCAGATCAGGAAGAAAAAAAGAAATTATTAATTCGAAATATAAGTTGACAAATGCTTGTTACTAATAAACCTTGAACAAAGTTTATATTGGGTTTTAAAATACTAAATAGTATGAAGGTATCACAAATTTCAGGATAATTACAAAAAATTAATTTCATCTTTATCCTTCCTTTATACTTTTATGATGAATATGGTAGCTATTAATCCAACAACTATATAATCACTTTAAATGTGAATGACATTATATATACCACAGAAAAGACAAAGATTGTCAGCAGAAATATAAAAACCACCACCCACGACCAAGAATGTTATGTATTAATATATACTCATAAATATACACATATTAGATATATGCACTTTTTAAAAAAAATAATAGAGTTTGAGATTATTGGGCAACCCAAGAGAAATGTTTATTCTAGCAAAAATAAAAACAAAAAACAGTGCTGGGTGTATCAGCATTCAATTACTATGTTTAAGTCATGTAAATAATTAGAGTTAAAATATATATTTTTTTAAGGATCATTGTTTGCCAGGAAACTTTACTCCAAGTCACAATACCCCAGGGGAGTGTGGTTAAGTCGGTTAAGCATCCAACTCTTGGTTTTCTGCTTAGGTCATGATCTCAGGGTCCTGGGATCAAGACCCAGGTAAGGCTCTGTGCTCAGCAGGGAGTCTGCTAGAGACTGTCCCTCTCCTGGTCTCCCTCTGCTCTCCCCCTGCTTCTTCTTTATCTCTAAATAAAATATTTTTTAAAAAGTCACAATACTCCATGATGAACAGGGGAGACAGGTTCTCAATAACTATATTTTGTTTTATTAAGTGGTAAGTGTATTCTTAAGGTCTGATCATTAAGGGATTATTAATAAATTCTCTAGAATAATTGGTTGAGAAACCTGTTTCAGTAATAAAATAGTCCAAATCATATAAACATCAAGGTAACATTAAAAATCACATATATGGAATAGAATTTTCCAAAATTATAGTAGGTGTTTCTTAGGTTTTCATGGAAGTGACAGGAGAAAGTTCCAGAGCCAATTAAGTTTGGGAAAATATTGTGTTAAACAGATTTCTTTACTACAGAACTTCTTGGAACTTGTGAGAGGCCTCTGACAGTTCAGTGAAATTCTAAGAGGGCATGTGCAGTTTCTCAATGATCTCCAATCATAAAATCCTCACTTTTTTTACAGCACCCAATTAAAGAAAAAAACATTTCTTTTTGTAAGGCTAGGTCCTCAGTTAGTTCTTCTCTTTTCTAAGAACTTCCTTTGTATGTCTGCTCCTAAGCTTTACAGTAGTCACCCTTTGGGTCTTTATCATTGCTCCCTTTGACCTCTCTCCAA